CGCTCTGTAGACCAGGCTGACTTCGAACCTGCCTCTGCCTCCCGAGCGCTGAGATTAAAGGCATGTGCCACCAATGTCCGGCTCTCAAATACATTTTTAAAGATTTATTTTTAGCCGGGCGTTGGTGGCGCACGCCTTAAATCCCAGCACTTGGGAGGCAGAGGCAGGCGGATCTCTGTGGGTTCGAGACCAGCCTGGTCTACCGAGCGAGTTCCAGGACAGTCTCCAAAACAATACAGAGAAACCCTGTCTCGAAAAACCAAAAAAAAAAAAAAAAAGATTTTTATTTTTTTAAATTATGTCTCTGTGTATGGGTATGTGCAGGTGTCCATAGAAGACAGAGGATCTGGCTAGAATCCCCAGAGAACTGGAGTTAAAGGTAGTTGTGGGCTTCTTGAAGTAGGTGCTGGGAACCAAACCTGGATCCTCTGCAAGAGCGTGCTCACTCCTAACCACTGAGCCATTTCTCTGGCCCCTTAAATGCATTTTAATGTAGCCCCTGAAGTGTGTACTTACTACAGCTTACTGTGCACAGTTAGAATCTGTTGCTTATTAATGTGGTTTCCCTGACTTCAGGCTCCACTCTACCAACATAGCGAAAATTTTCTCCTCATTAGTTTCCTCTGGTTTTGAAACACTTCAATGACTTGTCACAGTTAGGCAGTGCTGCCCAAAGTTACAGAAGCCAGGAATGCTGGTACATGTCTGTAATCCCAGCTCTTAGGAGGCAGACATGGGAAGATTGTTAATTCTAGGCTAGCTAGCAGTACTATGAGACCCTGTATTCAAAAAGAGAAAAGAAAAAAAGAGGAAGAAAGAAAAGAAAAGCAATTACTTGTATGTTGACTGAAAGTACAGAATCTCTAGCCACTGTTCTGGAGATGTTTAACTAGCAAACTTGTACAACCTGCCAATTTGTGCTTTTTAAAACCGTATTATCTTTATTTTAGTGTGTGTGTGTGTGTGTGTGCGTGCGTGTGTGTAAGAGAAGAGTATGAGGGCACACACACGTGGTACAGCATGCTTGTGAAGGTCAGAGAGCATCTTTCAGGCATTTGTCCTTATCATGTGGGTTCTGAGGTCCTCAGGCCGCAGACACCTTTACTGCAACAAACGTCTTGACCTGCTGAGCCATCTTGCTAGCCGTACTTTGTGTTTTAAATTAACATCTCATTTGCTTACAGTGTTTACCAAGCTTTTCATATGCTCTGCCCACTCCTCTTTCAGCTCAACCCTGGGTATGGTAGTGTCTGCTGAGAATATTTCCCGCATTTTCATTTCTTAGAAAACAACTATCATTTAAGAGTCTACCCATGAAGCAGGTGTTTGCAGACCTGTGGTTCCTAGGTTGACTCACCTATTCGTCTTCCTTGGTGCCCCAACAAGTCTCATGCCCACACTTGATAACATTTCCCTGCTTATTTCCATTGTACATGAGATCTCTAAGAGCAGTGATTGTATCTTGCTTATTTCACAGCTAGAAGGATACATTTAAAATCAGAATGCCAATGTGATTTCTTAAAAAATATGGAGAAAAGGCAGCCCATAGTCACTGCTAGTGGGGAATGAACTAGTACAGACATTGCTGAAATCAGTGTGGCATTTACTAAAAAATTAAAATTGCTGGATGGTGGTGGCACACACCTTTAATGCCAGCACTCAGGAGGCAGACAGGTGGATCTCTGAGTTCAAGGCCAGCCTGGTCTACAGAGCAAGTCCCAGTACAGTGAGGGCAGAGAGAAACTCTGTCTAAAAAAAAACAACAAAAAAATTAAAATGACCCAAAATTAGATAGACACTATATCCTACCACAGGGATACTTCCACGGGGTTATTCATTGCTGTATCATATTGATGGCAAGGAAATGGAATCAGCCTAGATTTTCACCAATAAATAAATGTATGGTGAAATCGTGATATTAAAACAAATGGAATTTTACCCAAATATAAAGAAAACTGAAGTTATGAAATACGCAGGAAATTGGACAGATCTGGAAAGTACTATATTAAGTGAGAGGATCCAAACAGAAGTTAAGTGTTCTCTGTCATATGCAGATATTTTGGCATTTGCATATATGTAAACAAGGGGTGTGAAAATGTATATAGATGGCTCCAGGTAGGAGACCACGAGGAGAGTGGTGTCAAGGAAGAGGGGAGAGGAGCAAAAGGACACATGACATGTAAACAAAAGGAGGCTACTGGGGGACAGTGAGTACAGGGTGAGGGGAGGGGAAAGGGTCAAGGAGAAACAGCCCAAATTAAAATGCTGGGTAGTGGTGGCCCACGCCTTTAATCCCAGTACTTGGGAGGCAGAGACAGGTGGATCTCTTTGAGTTTAAGGCCATTTTATTAGAAAAGAATTTATTAGAAGAAGTTTTGTAATAAAACTGACACTTTATATGTCAATAAATAAATAATGAAAGAATAAATAAAAGACTCTCTTTTGCTTCTGAACAAGTCTTCTTGAGCCTCCCGAGAAACTGGTCCAGCCGTGGAATCAGATGGCTTCTATAACTGCTAGAGCAGCTGAAGAACACAGTTTAGGTGCAGAAACTACAAGTTTTCTAAGTATTAGCGACTTGGTGAGGCTGCCTGCCGCAGACATGGCATGCTAACTGCTGGCTCACCAACAGTCTAACTGCACACGCTTTCTACAGAACCTGAAGAAAGACGCTATTTGGATGTCACCTTGGCTGCATGGAAGCTGTGCAGATAGCTAGTAAAGTGTTATTTCTGGGGATTTCTATGAGGGTGTTCTGAGGAGACATTGGCGTTTTGTCAACAGGCTCAGTGGGGAAAGTCCGTCCTCGGTGTGGTGGACTGTAACCAGCTAGGCGCCTGGGTAGAACAGCAAAGCAGAGGAAAGGTGAATTTGCTGAAGCGGGGATAACTTTCTCCAGCCCTTAGATACCAGAATTCAAGTTCTCTGACACCAGCAGTCTGCTTGTCCCTGAATTTGCACCAGTCAATTTGTATTAGGGTTCTCTAGAGTCACAGAACAGAATGAATCTCTCTAAATATGCGTGTGTGTGTGTGTGTGTGTGTGTGTGTGTGTGTGCATGCGTGCGTGCATGTATATATGTGGGAATGTATTAGAATGACTTACAGGTTGCAGTCTAACAATGGCTAGCTGTGAATGGAAAGTCCAAGAATCTAGAATTGCTCAGTCCCAGTGAGGCTGGGTATATACTATATACTTTTCCTCACTCAGCTTTTTTCTTTCTTTATACATCTGTATAAGAGTGACCACTAATGCCACACAATGAAGTCAACACTAGGCTGTTTTGAGATTTCCTTCCAACAGAATTCATCCAGATCTCTTCACTCTAGCCTCGGGTAGACTTTTCATACGAGGGCAAAAAGTAGCCACATTCTTCACTAAAACATCACAAAAATGATCTCTAGGCAGCTACCAACAATTTCCCCATCTGAAGCCTCTTGAGCCAGGCCCCTACAGTTCAAATCTCTCTCAGCACCACTGTGTTCCATGCTACTAGGATGGCTCATTAAGTCCTGCTTAAAATGTCTAATCTCTTTTCTCATCCAAAGACACAAACTCTTCCATATTTCCTCAAACAAAAGCAGTGTAAACAACACCCCAATTCCTGGTACCAATTTGTCTTAGCCATTGTTGTATTGCTATGAAGAGACACCATGACAACTCTTATAAATGAAAACATTTAATTAGGGCTAACTTACATTTTCAGAGGTTAGTCCATGTCATCATGGCAGGGAGACATGCTGGAGAAGTAGCTGAGAGTTCTGCATTTGGATCTACAAGCTGCAGGAAGACGGGGGCGGCTTGGGTTTCTGGGATATACTTCCTCCAACAAGGTCACACCTCTTAATCCCTGTCCAGTAGGGCCATTCCCTAATGACCAAGCATCCAAACATATGAGCCTATGAGGGCCATTCCTATTTAAACCATCACTGTGAATTTCAATAATTCAAGTTCAAAGTCAGTCTTAAATACCTGGTGAGGAGTTTTGTTGAGGATTTTAACAATCTCTTAGAGCCAATAGCCGTATGAATAGACCAAGGGGGAACTCATTACTTGGATGAAAATATCAATAATAGGTGATTATTAATTCACAAAGGATACTTTACAATAAACATAGGTGTGGATTTGTGTGAGCCAATTACTTGTCAGTGTGTTTGTTTAATGCCAGGAATAAAGTTGTAAAGGTCATTCAGAGAGTCTATCCTGTGTAGCTAGAATTTAAGGCATGAAATCTCTCTTTAATTATACATTCCACAATTAGCTTCATGACTTTGTATATGTGCCCCTGGAATACATATCCTTTATGCAGATAATTTCTATTTATTGGACACATGTCACATTCAGATTCATTACTCATGGTTCATGCGCTAGGATCATGACTATGAACTGACTAATGTTCAGCGACAACTTGACTGGATTTAGACTTATTTAGGAGATTGATAGGTGTGTTTGTAAGGGCGTTTCCAGAGAGGGCTGTTTGCTAGGGAGAACCCACCCTCTAGCACAGATATACTAGAAAGGGGAAGGAGAAAGCCAGCGGAGTATACCAACAATCCCCTTCTCCTTCTCTCTGTTTCTGGCCTACCAGATGTGAGCTGTGCTGCTGCACTGTGCTCTGCCCACCATGCCCTGTCCACCTTGCTCTGCCCACCCTGTCCTGCCCCCCCACCCTGTTCACTCTACCCTGTCTATCCTGTCCTTTCCACCATGCTGAAACCATAATACTAAAGAAATCCTCATTTCTGTTGCACATTGATTTTTCTCTTTTCTTTTTATAAAGATTTATTTATTATGTATAGTGTTCTACCTAGGTGTCTGCCTCCAGGCCAGAAGAGGACACCAGATCTCATTATAGATGGTTGTGAGCCACCATGTGGTTGCTGGGAAGTGAACTCAACTTCTGGAAGAGTAGCCAGTGCTCTTAATCAATGAGCCATCTCTCCAGCCCCCATGAATTGGTTTTTCAAGACAGGGTTTCTCTGTGTAACAGCCCTGACTGTCCTGGAACTCACTTTTGTAGACCAAGCTGGCCTTGAACTTACAGAGATCCACCTGCCTCTGCCCCCTGAGTGCTGGGATTAAATATGTGCACCACTGCCCAGCCTGTCACGTATTTTGGTTGTAGCAATTGCAAACTGATTAACACAACAACAAAAAATTATGTTTCTGTTTACAAGAGAAAAAAAGACATACTTAAATCTGATTGGAGCACATCTTGTTTTCTAGCTGTGTGAGTTCATAAGCCTTTCTTGTTCTTGAACCACTCCACCTTTCTGATAGTTTTTTTTAACTAGCTTGAAACAACACTCTCTTTATAGAAAATAGAGTTTTAGTCAAATATTAACTATGGCAATTGTGAGCTCTGTTAGAACAATCTGGATAAAGCCTGAGTGGTAAAAGACAGGTGTGCCTGACCACACTGTACAGGCAGCAGAACTGAAAGCCCAACCTCAAACGTGACTCTTGCCCAGGGATTTGTATGATGAACGAATGCATGTTTTTCCTATCCAAAGACATTGTTCAAAATAAGAAGAGTATCGCTTTTTAAAGAAAATATTCTTAGATGGACAGAGTGGTTACGTTTATTACCCTAGCACTCAGGAGAGGCTAAGACAGGAAGAGTGCCGTGAATTCAAATTGAGGGCCAGCATGGGCTACTTAGTGAGTTCATTGCCAATCTAAGCTAGAGTGAGAACCTATCTCAAAAATAAAAAAATAAAAAGAAAGAAAATATTCTCAATAGGATCATTAAGATCCTAGAGACCAAAGATAAGCTTTGAGTAAGAAGCCAGGAAAATTTCAGTCATTTTAAAACAGGTTTTGGATAGCAGCCACAAATACAAAACCACTGTAATTTTGCAATTTTGTATTTTATAACTCTACAAGGAATTAGTTAGCTTTTGTTTGGGGAAAACAATTCAGTGGGCCTTTGGATTATAGAAAGACTGATACACAGGCTAGTGTATAGATATGGCAAAGACCAAACTACTTCTGGAAGCTGTGTAAGTTTAATGGTTCTGTCCCCACCACACACACAAACACACACACACTCTCTCCCTCTCTCCCCCCCCCTCACACACACACACACACACACACACACACACACACACTCAGGAACACAAGATTCTGTTACTTTCAAACAGAGAATGTTAAGTGATTTTCCCAATTGTCTTCCTTGTGGGGATCCCAGAGCCATGGCACAGAGATTATTTTATTTATTTAGATAACTGAACTATGATACTCTCAGGAACAAGAAAACTCCACCTGGTACAGCAGGGGTTTACGTTTATGTTTATATAGTTTTGAGCTCATACTGGTACTCATGTCCATTTGAGAACTTAGCTTCTAGGACCAAGTCAAGATCAGATCCTCCCCATGGCAACCAAATGAGGATTAGAGTCCAGGCTGTCCTGTTAACTAGTCTCTCTACCCTCTCAGCTTTTCTACCTTCAGGCTCTGTTCTTTTAATTCCAAGACTCCAAACTCCCAGATCCGAGAGGTTACTTAGCCGTTGTGAAATTCCAGTCCCAAATGCTGGAGAAGGAAGTGTTTTTCAGGGTTTGCCTGAGCATTGAGGGAAATGACTCAGGCTTTGGCAGTGGTGGTCCTTCTGCCCAGTCTGTGTCAGCTCCTGGGGGGAAGGATCCTCCTCTTTTTGGAGTGAAAGTGATGGAAGAGGGTGGGTACTCTATTCCCAGTTCAGCACCCCTCCCGAGTATGATCAACCAATGATTTCTCTCTGACTTCACTCCAAAAATGAGGACAGGCTCAGACTAACAAGAATAATTACCCTGCCCAACCCTGCACCCCCTTGGGGACAAAGGTTAAAGACACAAGCATTAAATACTCCTATTGGTATGGTTGCTCCTTGCAAAGTTCTTGTCTTGGCTGTTAAAGTATTTGATCTTTCCTAGGCTCGTAGCCGTCCGTAAATGATGTCCTAGATCTTCCCATAAAGAAAGGAAGTGTGACCTCAAGTTAAAATTCTTTTCCTTGTGTTCCAAGTTTGTTCTGATGGAAATCTATCCTACTAGCAACAATAATCTCTAAACAGAGAATGACAGTGCATGCTTGTACCTCAGCATCTGGGAGGCAGAGGCAGGAGGAGCACCACAAGTCTAAGGTCAGTCTGAGCTACACAGCAAGTTAATCTAGGATGCCCATAGTGACATAACAGACATGTGTTTACACACACACACACACACACACACACACACACACACACACACACACACACACACGGCTGGGATGGGGAGGGGTGGAGAGAAAAGAAGGAACAGGCAATGTGCTTCCAAAATTCTGTGTTTGAGAGCAACAGTGCATGGACAGTATGTCACACCAGAAACCAGCACAACTAGATGTGTTGAATATGTCTTTCTCTTGGTGGTGGCAATCTAAAGTAGACTCAAATGTTAAACTTGTAAACTTTTCTCTGGAGTGGCAGCAATTTGAAATATTTCCGAAGGTGAATTTTCTTGTGCTTTCTCAAACATTCTTAGAAAAAAAGAAAAGCCCCAGGTCTTCATCATTATTGTATTATTGCCATCACCATCAGCATCCTATGTGTTTTTGAGACCATATGTCACTCTGTAGCCCAGGCTAGCCGGGAACTCATGGTTTGTCTCACACCTCAGCCTCACGTGCTGAGATCGCAAACGTGAGCCATGACACAGGGCTTCCAAAATTCTGTCTTTGAGAGCAACAGTGCATGGACAGTATGTCACACCAGAAACCAGCAGATGCTCAGGAGCTCTGAGTCCCCTTTGACCTCCGGTGAAAAGAGTTTCTGTAATTTCCAGCAGAAAAAAAGAAAATAAAGCTGAAGTGACATCCTGCAGAGGGATAGGCAACTCACGGAAGTGTTCTCAAGCCAGTGGCTGCTGTTGGAAGGCTTCCAGCTTTGTGTACACTTAGTCTGTACACACCAGAGCAGTGTGAACGGTGGGAAGTCCTTCCTCCCACACAGCTATAAAAGCACGCGTGCATTTAAGAAAAGGCAATTGTTTACAAGCTTGAGGCTAAGACCAAAATTTAAGAGCCGTTACTCTGATGAAAAAAGGCTGCACTTCTGTCTGAGCATGGAGCCTGTGGTCTTCCCATGGTCACCTCCTCTTCCCCTTCCTCTACCAGGTGCCCCCCCACGCACACACACTCACACGCAAACACACACACACACACGCAAACACACACACACACACACACACACACACACACACACATACACCCTTGCAGGACTCACAGTGCAGAACACAGGCTTCCCTGCTGGAGGGCACTGGCTTATTTGGGTGGAAAGGGAGAAACGTGTTAGCAGCAAAGATATAAAAGTTTGTCACAAAGAAGCAAGTGACCTTTATATTCTGGAAAGCTATGCTTTAAATAATGAAGGCAAGCTAAATATATTCCCGGATTTAGACATGTGGGAGAGAATTCTTCGCTACAAGATTGCTTTTAAGAAACATGGAGGGAAGTGCTTTAGGCTGAAGGAAGTGGCCCAGATGGCATTTTGAGTCCATAGGGAGAAAATCCAGAGCCTCTGAAATGGTAACTGTATAAATAAGACTGAGAAATGCGTTTTCATGGCTTCATGTCTGTTTATTTTTGAGACACAACTGCATGTATCTTAGGCTCATTGTAAACTCACTATGTAGCCATAGATGACCTGAGCTACCAGACCCTCCTAGGTCTACTCCTAGTGCGGGTTTACAGTGCGCACCATCACATTCAGTTTGTGCAGGGTTAGGCTTTATCTCTGAGGATTCTGTGACACTCAGGGAGAGGAAATGGTTCAAATATATAGAATGTTCTTCCTCCAAATTCAGACTTCACATAAAACTGATTTACCCAAGCCTTGGCAAATCCCATATTCCCTAAATGACTGTTGACTATTTGTCAATAGGATGTTGAAGTGTCGGGTGTTTGTTTTAGATGCAGATTTTAGACGTCTCTTATTTCTTTTCCTGTAAGCATCATGGCATTATTTCTCATCCCTTACTTCTTTCTCCTCCCTCCCCCTCCCTCATGCCCCCACCCTGTGTGTTTGTGTGTAGGTGAGAACTCATCCTGGGATGTTCTTCCTCAGGCACCATCCACGTGGAAATTTTGAGGTCTGCTCTCTCATAGTGACCTGGGGTTTGATGGTTAGGCCAGGCTGGTTGGCCACCAAGCCCCAGGTTCTGCCTGTCTCTACTGCCTCGGGGCTGGATTACAACACCTGCACCACCATGCATGGTTTTTAACTTCAGGTACTTGGGACCAAGCTCGGCACTTACTCTGTAGCAGCCAGGACTTTAACCACCCTAGCCGCCCCCCCAGCACCCACACTGGGGCTTCTTGAGAGAAGTCAGGACATTGTGGAGTCACCTAAAAGGCACTTTAACTTTGTTAACAAAGTTATGAATTAGACTCAGTGTCTCATAACATGTATCTAAGAAGTAAAAGATATATATCATTTAAACCAATTCTGGAATTTAAAAAGTAAAACGTCTTTTTAATCCCAAAAGTATTTTTCTGTGCTTAACAAATGATGAAACTCTGGAACTCTTCCTATCTCAGAGCAATTAATTACATTTAGGACACAGTTTACTGATAATTTCTAGATGAATTGTATAGAAATTGAGTGATGAAATATTCAATTAATTGCTAGAAAATGGCATTCCATTTTTCCCTTTGATTTCAACTTGGTGAGGAGAAGCTCGAGCTACTCTCTGTTGTCTCCTGTTAGTACAATTGTCACTTTCTTCATATGTCCGTGCCAGCCACCAACTGCCAGATGGGAAGTTACATTTGTATTTTTATATTTATTAATAACTCTGAGGAAATTACTACTTCTGTCTGTTAAATTGTGGCCTCCAGTTCCTTTTTAAGATCAATAACAAATAATTTAAAAACACTTTTTTTTTTTTTTTGGTTTTACGAGACAGGGTTTCTCTGTATTGTTTTGGAGGCTGTCGGTCCAGCCCGGCCTGGAACTCACAGAGATCTGCCTGCCTCTGCCTCCCAAGTGCTGGGATTAAAGGCGTGAGCCACCACCACCCGGCTAAAAACACTTATTTAAATAAGTGATCATCTATGAATGAAAAAAAGAAATAGAAAAGAAATGATAGGACATGACTGCTCCTAGGTATGGTGGGGAAGAAGGTTTATTGTAGATATGTGGGAGAGCATAGTCACAGGCAGGGACATCTGGGAGAGTCCAGAGTGGACATGGCCAGGCTGAGCTGAGCCATGTGGAGAGAGAAGGAGAAGAGAGAGGGGGGAAACCAGATTCAGTAACCAGGAGGCCAAAGGTGCAAAAGGGGCAGGTAACCAAAATGTTTGGATTATATAGGGAAGAGCCTCTGGGGAAGGGCAACCCAGCCTCTGGGCTGGGAGTACAGGGAAAGGGGTGGGGTGTGCCAGCCATACCCTGCAACAAGTAGGGACTGAGGCATGCTGGGAGAACCTGGCAGCCAGGTCCACCTTCATACATTAAATAGACACCTCAGCCATTTGTCCCAGATATGGATCTTAAACTATAAACAAAATGTCACAACCTTTTTAGTGGTTACAGTGGAACATTAGTAGGATAGTTTCTAGTAAGAAAATAAAAAACAGAACAAAACACCCCGTCAAAAATAAACTAACAAAATTATTAAAAGACACCCTGGAATTTATAAAAACAGATTAAGAGTGAAATTCTTCACGTCATTTAATGAGGGTTCTAGTTAAGGGGAAGAAAGTTCGTATGTTAACTCCCCCATCCCACCTCCACCCACCCTTCTCCCTTCTATTTCAGACAGGAACTAGCTCAGGTGTCCTTCAAGCTTTCATCCTCCTGCCTCAGCCTTCCCAGCTGTGAAGATTACAGGCATGTGACACCATGTCTGGCTTGTAGCTCCCTTTCAGTTAAAGAATTTAATCTTTTTTTGTTGGATTTATCTGTTCTGTTTATAGTTTACCATTCATTTATTTTACTTGCTGGTAATACAATGCAATGTAATTTCTTTCTCTCTGAAAGCTAGAGTCTGGACAGCCTTAGGGTTGAGAAGCCTTGTCAGAAGTGACCTCTGTGAGGCACTGGGAAAGGCCCAGGCGCACCCACAAAGCAACTCCCAAGTTGTCTTTTCTAAAGGTTGTTGGCTAGGGATGAGCTCAGCTGGGTCAGGGTGTGGTTTGTAAACACCAAGTCAGGTTTTCAAAAAAAACTTGTTGTTCCTCTCATTCCCCAGGGGAAGACAGAGGGAGGGGCAGAATGCTGCAAATTATCTGTATTCTTTTTTAAAGTACTTAGAATTTCCAGTCTGTAAGGAAAGAAACTGGTGTTCTCACAAATTCTTATCTGTGGTAGGCCCATAGGGGGTTTCCTTTATTTTTTCTTCCCTCTTTTTCTCTTTTATGTATTTAAAGTTCTGTGTTTATAAACACATTATAATGCCTATGTAATAAAAAGAAATATCTAAGGCCTGACATGGTGATACATGCCTGTAATCTCAGGACTTGGGAGGTAGAAGCAGGAGGATCACTCCAAATTCAAGGGCAGGGCCCAAATAAGTTCCAGAGCATCCATGACTACATATGCCTCAAACCTTCTCTCCCCTGCAACAATGATTCTGAAATAAAACAAAGCAAAACTCCAAAAATCTACCAGGGCCTGGGAGATGACTTAGATCCTTGCCTTGCAAGCATGAGGACCTGCAATCAGCTGTTATGATAAAGTGCATGGGGGACCTTGGCAGATTCTATGTCAGAGGTTGACAGAGGCAGGGGACAAACATGCCAGGCCGACAGAGCTTATATGAGAAGTTTTATTAGGAAGGGGAGGGAGGGGAAAGGAAAGAGAAAGAGGTGAAGAGACACAGAGACACAGGGAAAGGTCAGAAACAAAGAGGGAGACAGGAAAAGTCCTGTCTGCCCCAGGGGAACAGTGGGAAAGAGAGCATAAGCAGGAGGGTTCTTTCTTTTAAAGGGGTCCTTTGCACCTGTGTGTGCAGACCCTGGGCTGACCAGGGTACTGCCTGAGTGCATTCTGCCAGGTGACAGGGGCAGGCCAGCAAAATGCCTGAATCAGTACATCAATCCCCAGAATTCAGATAAAAACCTAGGTATGAGCCAGGCGTTGGTGGCACACGCCTTTAATCCCAGCACTCGGGAGGCAGAGACAGGCGGATCTCTGTGAGTTCGAGGCCAGCCTGGTCTACAGAGCGAGTTCCCGGACAGCCTCCAATACAATACAGAGAAACCCTAGGTATGGGGATGGAAGGTTGACTCAGTAGTTATGAACATTTGCTGCTCTCCCAAAGGGTTGGGGTCCTATTCCCGACACCCATTTTACACCCATTCCTGAGACTCAAATACTCTCTCCTGGACTCTGGACATCAAGTACTCACATGGTATACATTCACGTAGATGTAGACAAAACACTCAAACACATAAAAGCAAATATAAATTTAAAAGAAGGAGGAGAGTCAGCAGCAGCCAGCATGATGGTGTGGTTTTGTAGGGAAAGTGGGACAGGAGGATCCCTAGGGCTGACTGGCCAGCCAGGCTAGCCTGATTTGTGAGTTCCAGGTTCATGAGAGACTCTAACTCAAAAAGAGGTGGAAGGTGGTCCTGAGGATGACACCTAAAGTTGTTCTCTGATCTCTGCATGAACATTCATACATAGGTAGTAGGACTGGACCACGGGCAAGTTTATCAGGAGGACTTAAAATAAAAACAGAGGCACAGATACAGTAATTTGGTGGATGTGGTTGTGGTTGGGTCTGTGAAAATTCTCTTGTGATCATTTCTCAATGAAAGGAAGAACAAATTTATCTGATAAGAGAGAGTATGTGAGAAGTAATAGGAGTTTCAGGAAAAAATGGAGTCACCTAAGAGAATGGCAGAATGAGTGGACTGGATAAGTGAGTAGTATTGTAATGGCTATGAATTTAATTTTAAATGATATCTGTTAATTTATTTAAGTAGTCAGATTTTTCTTTGGGCTGCCAGCTCACAGATAGCAACACAGAAACTTATTAATTAGGAAGGCTTGGCGTTAGCTTAGGCTTGTTTTTAACCAGCTCTTACAACTTAAGCTAACCCATTTCTATTAATCTACACTCTGTCAAGTACTGCCCATCCTGCTTATTATTAATTATTAATTAGGAAGGCTTGGCGTTAGCTTAGGCTTGTTTTTAACCAGCTCTTACAACTTAAGCTAACCCATTTCTATTAATCTACACTCTGTCAAGTACTGCCCATCCTGCTTATTATTAATTATTAATTAGGAAGGCTTGGCGTTAGCTTAGGCTTGTTTTTAACCAGCTCTTACAACTTAAGCTAACCCATTTCTATTAATCTACACTCTGTCAAGTACTGCCCATCCTGCTTACTCCCTGTCTCCTCGAATCTCACACACCTAGATTCTGCCTCCTACTTCTCTCTGCTGGGAAAACTCAAACCATAGCAATATCTCATCACCTTTTGCAAACTGTTAATTAGAAAAGAGTCCTGGCCAAACTCAAGAATAGTAAACTCATGCCCTATTTCCTGACACCTAGTTAAGCTCAGCAAATATTATCTTTCAAGCAGAGATTTGTAATTTTGATTGTTAGAAATTACTCTTATAAATTACTCTTAAGCTATGCCCTCCACCCTCTGCTTGAGGTGAGTGTGGACTCTGCTTGGACCCAACTCCCCCCATCTCCTCCTTGGAGCATCCTGGGTTCGCTCCACAGGTAGTGGACCCACCCTAGCAGGATGGACCGTCCAGAGTCTGGCCACACCTCAGTATTGGTCCCCTCCACCCTCTACCCTCTACCCTCCTCCCCCCTTCCCCCGCTTGAGCCTTTTGATCCATAAACCCCCCTTCCATTGGCTTTAGTGGCCTCACTGTCTTCCTAGCTTTCCTTCAACTGCTTTGAACCTTTGTTGTCAGGTTCCCTGCCTAGACTGTTTCTTCATGGAGTCCCTAAGTGCTACTTCCCAGAGGGGACACATTTGCAACTCTCTTATATGTTGTGTTACCCCTTTAGTTTTAGTCATAAATAATTCACTGATGGCTTAAAATTCCTATCTCTAATCCAGATATATTTCAGGTTTAAGACTTAAAGATTAAACTACCTTTAGAATCACTACTCAGGGCCTTCACACATCACACGACAACAAACAAACCAAAAACATCCCAGTTAACCTGCAGCCACACATAAAAATGAGATTTACTTGGGGAAGTTCATTGATAAGTTTGTCATTGTCAACATCATAGGCTCTACTTACATAAGCTAGAATGACTATGATGTTAGTAGGCAATACATATACTCTGGGATCAATATCATACAAAGTCCATAAGTGATCAAAACATGTAATGTAGGGGCTGAGAGATAGCTCTGTGGTTAAGAGCACTTGCTGTCTTGCAGACGACCAGGCTTGGGTCCCAGAACCTATATGGGGCTCACAACTGTGGTAATTCCAGTTCTAGTGCATAGAATACTATATTCTGGCTCAAGGACACCAAGAACTCAAGCAATACAGGAAAACGCTCATGCATATCAAATTAAATAAATACATCTGAAACAAGACAAAATAAAATCCCATCCAAACAAGCTAGTGGCATGGAGGCTGGAGAGATGACCCTAAGGTTAATCCATCTTACTACTCAAAAGTTCACATCCCAGCATCTGTATCAGATCCCAGGACCTAATCAAAAAACTAACTCCAATTCCCTGAGAGCCAATGTCTTCTACCTCTGTGATCACTTGATTATACATGTGCATGCATACAAACAGGATCAAATCAATATTTTAAAAATCCAGAATCATATAACTATATATCCATCCTTGATCCCAAACATATTCAGCATCTAAATGTCATGGTTTGCTATTTGATATTCACACACCTAAGTGAAAAGCATGAAATCATTCAAAATGTGTG